CAGCTTGCACCAAAGGAAAGAATCCAAGCAGCGATTGTGCATGGGCCACCTGGTCTTCCCGGCTAAAGCCTCGCAAGCAAATTCTAATAAGGAGTCAGTGATCAAGGGGTCCTTGCACCCACTCACCATTGCCTGGGATGATGCCTGCTCTCATGCCATCCTTCCAAAGTGTTCCTCAGTGAAGCATGATCCGAGTGGCCACATCGCCTCTCGTGGAATGAATCTAATACGGTCCAAATGTATCCCCTTAAGGGTTATTGTACAAGTAATAAAATGTACCCATAGTGTAGTGCATTTGATGTCCGCCTAATATGTAGTCCAACAGTATTGTAATGCTTTGGCACTATTAGAGGTACCTGTTTGAGCCCCCCACTTCAGTAGTTTTGTGTAGACGTCTTCCACTGTGGAGAATGATGTAATTGGTACTCTTTCCACCTATAGCATAGTCACACCTAATGTTGTGTGTTGAATTTGTGTGTTAATTGTTTGAGTCCAACTCCATCAATCGTTTTTCCAATAAGATGGTACTAATTTATTGCCCTAAAATAGGCATCATTTAGTGCCAACCAACACTCTAAGTTCCTTTACAACTCCATATTTTCCCAACACTTAGTGTACCAAGTAGGTCAGCTTTTTTACCAAGATGCTACAAAATGTGTTGCATATCTTTGCTTGCCATGTTTCCTAAGATTTTGCATACCAAACACATCGCCTACAACGGTTGTTATAAGAATGGCCATGCCATATTTTGTTTTCCCTTTTGAGGATTTGAACTACAAAATCTCAAAATGTCCTAGTTGCCAACATAAATCGAGGATTCTTATTGCATGCTTCTTGATTACATGGGCAGCTAGGGCTTCCCATATGGTAACCAAGCATTACAAGGATATACAGATTATTGCACCCACTAGAGGAGGGATTAGGAAGGCAAAGATGGTGATGGCGAGTTCTTCTTCATCTAGGCACATGTTGAGCGATCCACTTCTTCCTTCCCGCATGTACTCCACCTTCTTGTTGATGTCTTCTTAGGTGCTCTATGGCTTGCAAACCCTTACGCTAGGCTTCTTCTTCAATTGTTGGAACTGGTTAAAACTTCATGTCTTTATGTGGGTGATTAGTGTTGATGGTAGGGTGTCTTGCGGTGATCGAAGAGGCAGCCGAGGGGCGTTTATAGGAGCTTGATGGCAGGGCCAAGGATCGGGTGCGTGCCATCAACGGCGCGCTACTAATCGGCATCATTTTGAAGGGCGGCTTCATGGAGGGGACAACAGCACCATCCTTTTTAGGCACGGAGGTCATGACTCAAGCGCCGCCACATAGCGGTCTTTGTGGAATGCGTAAGGTACAACCTGTGGTGGTGCATAGAGGACGGCGCCATTGGCGCGGCCTTGTGGGGGACAAAGGTGATGGCTCGAGCGGCGCGTGGGCGGTGGTGCAGTGCGCGTGGTGTTGTGTGGAGAGGGACATTGGCGTCTGCAGAGACGATGACACTAGTGTGTGGGGAAGGATCGTGGATGCATGGATAACAATCTGCGGCGCGGCATCCACGGCTTTCATATGCCACCATCTATGCACTTTAGTCGGCTTTATATCGTGGCTTTGTGCGCGCGCGTCCGCCGTAATTCATGCCTATCATGGACCACGTCTTTCTACTCTTTTTCGCGGCTTTGGTCGGTCCTTCGCTTCGCACCCATGCTGCACCCTTTTCTTGGGTCAGTAAACCCTGCTGCTAGGCCCCACCTATCAACTTTTTCGACCACGCGCATGCACACATGGTGCACCCCACTTTTTCGCTATAGCCCCACTATAGGCGGTGAAGCTTCTCGGAGAAGCCTTGCCCTAGCCCTCTACAAAATGAGAACCACCCTGCTACCTTTCCCAAGCATCCCCCTCATTGAACCACCTCACCAAAGTTCCTTCCTCCTTGACCAAAGCCCATGGCCTCTCATCGAAGCCATCGTGTGCCCTTGCCTTCAACTCCACAAACCCTCCTAGCCAACCCGCAGGATGGTCAAGGAGTCTGGACTAGCAACACCGCCAAGGCATAAAGGATTTCCCAAGATTCTCAGATACCACCACGCAAAGGGCGGGAATCCGAGAGGTCCCGTGTATGAAGGTCGTGAGTTCATAGAGCATGACACCGAAAGCGGTGTGAGGTCATCGTCTACATCGGGAAAAGTGAGAACTCCACCAAGATTGATGGTCGGAGCACGACCACCATTGGTTTCGTTTCCTCGATGCCTATCAAGCGGTAGCTCGCAAAGCTCTGCGACTCCTATGCCAAATCTATGCAGGACCCCTCGCCCATACCCCCATGAGGTTCTTTCCGCCTTCGGACAAGGACACTCCATTCTGGAGGACACGCCTAGAGGCTCTGCAAGGACGCCCTCTGCAAGCAATCGACCCTACTGTGGTGTCCCTAGCCACATATCTGTTGGCCTTGGATGAGCACCATGAGAAGCTGGCCTCGAGTTGAGGAAGTGCGTCGCCGAGCCAAGGGGCGGAGGCCTTCATCAGAAGCTCCATGTGAGTTTTGCCATGGCTCATGCCAAACAGAAATGGCCGCCAAAGCCGTGAGACTGTCACCGCTGAAGCCATGTGGGAAGCGGGGAACCGCTACGCCAAGCAGCTAAGAGAAGCTTACCTTGTCACTCGAGACCAACGGAGGATGTTCTGCCTTAGACGGGCAACACCCCTCGATTCCGAGGGGGATACCCATCTATCCGTGGGAGAGGGAGAGCAGTGTGGCAGCGCCTCAAGCACCACCACCCACTCCCATAGAGGCCTCTGAAGTGGAGTCTCCCCTTCCATGCACACAGCCCAAGCCTGCCAGAGAATTTCAAGAGAGCAGCCGTGAAGCCATCTGTCTCGAGGAAGTAGATTAGTTGCTCCCCTAGAGTTGTATCTTTTTCATTTCTTTGTGTTGTTGAGTTTTAGCGATGTCGTATCCTGCTTTGTTATGTCGTCCCGCTTTGTATTCTCGCAATTGTGCCCTTGAATGAACTACTCCCCTTGTGTTGGTGTGCCTTTGTGTTTTTTTTAAAAAAAAGCCACATTCAAAACAAACCAATGCTAACTACCTGTGAACATACAAAAGAAATGGAATCCCAAGTCCATTGTAGTTGTTGCTCAAAAGAAATAAAGTGCATAACAAATTATCGTAAAAACATAAAAATGGTAAGCACGTATTTGGTGTGAAATAAATCTACAATGACAGTAATAAAGACATATTTCTTAAGTTGGTCACCCGCAGCGAAGCGCGGGCAAAAGTGGCTAGTGTGATATGATTCCTCTCCCATTTCCGCACTCTGCGTCTGCATCGGCAGATTTCACGCGAGGCCGAGCCGAATAATCGTTCGGACGACAGGGGCATGCACAAGGGAAGGGAAGTGCCGGGGGAGGAGAACAAAGTCGTGTGCCCGCCCGGCCCCGTTTTGCCTCTCGTCCCGGGGCGAAGAAAGGAAGGAATCGGCCAATCGGGGACGAAGAGCCGGCACTCCAAGTCAAGTGCAAGGGCCGCGGACGGGACCGGGCACTAAGGATGAAAACGGAACGGAAATATTGCGAACCGAACCGTATCGTTTTCTATATTTAATCCGATCGAATTCGTATTTTCTTGTTCGACTTTACCGTTTTCGCTTTCGCATTTGAGATATTTCGTATTTCAAATGTAAAAGTAGAAAACGGTTTACACATTTTTCAACCGTTTTCTACTTTTAATTTGAAATATTCCGAATTCAAAATTCGGTTTAAACCGAATTTGGTCAACTGCACAGGTCATACAGCCCAATTACAGGCTGCTCATCACGCAGCTGCGTTCTTTCTACTGGTGGCTAGCTGCCCTCTCTTATAGACGGCGCCCAGCCTCATCTCTTTTATTATGTATTTGGTCGTGCACTTGTTTAATGCTATGCACTTGAACTAGATCATGCACTTGTTAGTTGTGAACTTGTTATGTATTTGGTCGTGCACTTGTTTAATACTATGCACTATGTGTCGGTATTTCGTATTAAATTTTTGCATACCGACCGTGTTCGACATAATTCCGCTCGAATTGGTTCGTTTCCGAAATTCTAGATATTCCGTAAGTTCGTGTTCGTTTTCGTGTCCGGCTTGTCCGCTTTCGCTTTCGCTTTCGTATTTTAAATGTAAAAATAGAAAACGGTTGAGGAGTTTTTCGACCGAGTTCGACCGACCGTTTTGATCCTTACCGGGCACGCGGTTTCCATCGCACCTGGTGCCGGTGCCGGTGCCGGTGCCGATGGGTGGATACACGGACGGAATGGAATGGCAAAAACGGACGGACGTCGGGGCGCCCCGGGCGAGGCGGCGTCCGTCTGCAGCTGGGCCGCTGTGGCTGGTGCATCAGCAGCAGCGGTCAGCGCATGGCATGGCATCCAAGGAGTGCCGCGCGGAGACGAGAGACGAGCTGGCGGCGGAACAGGATGTACGCGCAACCGAACCGCTTGCTCGCGGCCGGAACGGGACAAACGGAATGAGAGGAGCTGGGACCGCGGCAGGACGCTGTGGCACGCACGCGAGGCCGGGTGCCCGCGTGTAGCGTAGCATAGCTGACAGCTCTCGCTTTGCTTGTGCCCGTTTCCTTCCATCAAAACGTCCAAACAGCTCAGCTCGCCGGAACAGCAGCATGTAGCAACAGACTGTTGACATCACACTCACACATACTATCGCTGTAGCACTGTAGTACAAGTACGCATGACAAACCAATAATAAATCTCCACGGTTGAATAATATAATATAATATAATATAATAAGCCTCTATATTTGAACACCAGATACGTACGATGGTGACACGATCCTAGTACGTTACCACTCTAGCTAAGCTAGCACTGCTGTGCTGGCTGACAATGTTGTAGCTCGCCGTTGCTGTTCTCCAATCATGCATGCGGTCAGTCAGCTTCAAGCATTCCCAGGCTCCCAGGCGGCGGCGGCCCTCTCCCCTCCTCAGCATCGTTCCACGCCAGATCACAGACGCCACACTACACAGGTGGCAGCGCCTCCGCCGGGGAGGACGAGACGGGGACGACGACGACGGCCGCCGGCTCGGCCTGCTGCTTGGTGGCGGCGGCGGCCGCGGCGGTGCCGACGGCGGCGCGGCACATGGGGCAGGTGGAGTGGGCGCGGAGCCAGGCGTCGACGCAGTCGGCGTGGAACGAGTGCGCGCACTTGGGCAGCCGCCGCACCTTCTCCCCGGCCTCCACCTGCCCGAGGCACACGGGGCAGTCGAGCGCCGGCGCCGCGGCGTCGTGCGCGAACGTCAGCAGCGCGGCGATCGCGTCCGCGCTCATGCCGTGGTCGCCGTCACCCTCCCCGTTCCCGGGAACGAACAAGGCGCCGCGCTGGCCCCCGCGGCGGCGGCGGCTGCAGAGGTACCAGATGGCGAGGTAGAGGAGGAACGTGAGGATGCCGATGGCGAAGGAGAGGCCCATGAAGAGCAGCCGCGCCCGGGTGCTGTACCGCGAGTTGTCCGACGCGAAGAGCCACGAGTTGGGCGTGCCCATGCCCATGCCCATTGCTGGCTGTATACCTCCCCGCCCGCGCCCACCAACTCGCGCGAGAGCTGCTGCTGCTGCTCCTGGATGCTTTGCCTCCTCGGCGCCGGAAGCGGCAGCCTGGCCCTGGCTGGCTCTGGCCGCGGACCCGGATTCCACGCCGCTGCTCACCCGCGACTCGGTCGGAGAATGGGCGCGGGTGAATCCGCACGGTGCACGCACGCGCCGGGGGTGGTGTTTCCTTTGCTTGGCGGTGTTGCCCGCGGTGGTGTTTCCTCTGCTTTTGTTTAGTGAGCTGAGAGGGAGGTCTTCGCGCTTGCTGCTGGGGCAAAGGGGCGCCGCGGCAATATATAAAGCCGCGGGCGGGCGAGCGATGCGCAGTGGGCGCGCACGGCGTCGGACGTCAGCTGCGAGCGCGCGCGAGATATTTTAGGGCCGGGAGGCTGTGTTTTGTTTAGTTTTGGACCGCACCGAACGAAACGAGTCCGACGGGACCCCGCCGAGCCGACCGCGGCCCGCGGCAGAGGAAAGCGGCGCGGTGCGAGCGAGCGCGACAAAAGGAGTCTCACCGGGCCAGGGTCCCGGTCCCCTCCTCTCCTCTACAGCGACGGACTGCCGCTGAAGTGCGTTGCGATCGTGTGAACTACTGAACCATGAAGCGAAGCGAAGTTTCCTCTCGGTGCTTTACGGGCTGGCCATGTTGAAGTTTTTGCCTGTGTTTCTTCCTGTATATAAAGCGGGATGGTGTGGTGTGACTACACATGCCACCGGCCATTTCCTTTGTTTTCCAATCTTCATTCACAGTTCACACCGATCCCTTTCCCGTGTTCGCACTAGACATACCGACAAGTCTATCACTCAGACTACGTCACCTGTTGGGCCATTTCACCATTTGTGTGTAACAATCACCTGAGACTTTTAATTTACTGTGCGTGCGTGCGTACGGGTGTTTGTCGTGGCGTTGTGGCAATCATCGAGCTCCCGTTTCTTGGCAGGCGGTGCCTTCCGTTCGCTCGACATCTGACCTGCGTAGCACGTGACGAGTCTTCACACTCTGTCAGTAGTGCGTCGTCATCATGCTTAACTCAACTCGAAGACAAACGCATGCTTAACTCAACTCGAAGCCAAACGCAGTTTGCGTGTGTTGCTAGCTGGAGGCTGCCTGGAGGAGCTGGTTCCATTGGTGCTTTCGCTTCTCGTGTGGGAATTGGGCACCGCGCGGCGTGCATGCGTGCGCTCGTGGCCGCTCGTGCTCATCATGTACTGATGAGTGAGATTTCATCACGGTGTTTCTGCTAACGATCACGATAAGATGGTGGTGGTCACACCGGTAATTAATCTATGACTGATCAGTGGCCATAAACCAGTGATGCATGATTAGGTGCATTATGAGCGTGTTTGTGTAGTGTGTGTCTGTGTGTGTTATGGTGGGGAAATTCATTGAAGCACTAGCCAGTTCAGGTGGAACTGGACCGGCCGTCCGTCTCAAGTTTCCGGGTGCACAAAGCCAGCCACAGTCAGGCACTATTACATGCTTTGTTTCTTTTCTTACCAGCCCACAGAATTGGTAAAGTGCAAAGGGCTTGTCAGTTGTCACCGGGACCGGGAGATTCTGTTGCCAGTTCACCTGAAAAAGAATCTACTACAAGTTGGCACCGAACCTTTGCAAAAGTGCATACGGAAGGCCTCCATGATCTGTGCTACTGCTAGCACTGTCACTGTACGAGGCGTGAAATAAACTAAGGACTCGTTTAGTTCCTCCCCATAGAGTATTAAATATAGATTAAAAAAATAATTGATGGCATAGTTTGTGACTAATTTGCGAGACGAATATTTTAAGCCTAATTAGCCCATAATTTGATAATGTGGTGCTACAGTAACATATGTGCTAATGACGGATTAATTAGTCTTAATAAATTTGTCTAGTGGATTACCGACGGATTCTGTAATTTGTTTTTTTATTAGTATCCAAACAGCCCATGCGACACTCCTATGTAACACCCGATGTGACACCCTAAAACTTTACGCCCTGAATTTAAACAAGGCCTGATGAATGAAAAAGAGAACAGAAAAAACAAAGCAATGCTCGCACGGTAGTCCCTCCGTAAAAAAAAATACAATTATCATATTCAAACAGTTTGAAGTTTTACTAAAATTATATGAAAACTAATAATATTCATGGGACAAAATAAATACTACTATTATTATAGAATATATTTTCATAATAATTTTATTTAGAGATATAAATGCTAATACTATTTACTATATATTTGGTGAAACTTGAGCCAGTTTGAGTGACACGGTTTTGCATTCTTTTCGGGACGTCCCTTAACGATACTGTACCTACTACAACTGTTCATGATGCGGGCGTTCCATAAAGAAACGAACGATGAATCATGACATGGTCGGTACTCGGAATGTATATAAAACCTGTAGCAATCCGCTATACGCCTTTACCAACAGGGATACCCTACCAGCAGTCATGCTTTGGTCGTGTGCTGCAGCCTGCATTGCACACCGGATAGCGACTGTTTGCATAGGTGCAGCACTGCTGCCAGTTTTGCTGTTTGCGAAGCACGTTCGTTTGTTGGTTTCAGCCAACCCAAACCAGTCAGCCAATAGTATTTTTCTCTCATAAAAAACTAACACCAGCCAGCCCAAACCAGCACCAGCACCGGCCAGCGAACAGGCCCAGAGGGTTCAGTTCAGAGTATTCTTTTCGAGTCATTCTTTTCCGCTGGACGCTGGTTTTCGAAATTCTGGTCTCAGCCCGGCCGCAGCTAGAAAGCTCGCGACCAGAATTCCCGTTCGGCTAATACAGACCACAAGCAAAACTAACTAAGGCTGGTATGGCAGTGATTTAACTGACGTGAAAAAAAGGGTGAGGTAAGAGATCCCAGGCTGCCCCTGCATGTCTCCAGCTTTTCCTTCACGTTCAGAATCGAAGGCCTTTCCTTCTTTTGCCCTGGTAGACTAGAAAAACAATGGGTTTTGTGGGGGCACGGCCGCCAGTTTCGTTTCTGAAGCGGCCACTAGGCCACTACGAGCAGTGACTCTGACTCAGTGAGGTTGGTTGGAGTTGGAGTGCGGCGGGCAGCGAGATCTTTCCTCTCGTCTTTTGTTGTTGGATCTCACGTCACAATCAGGAACCGCACAACATTGAGCCATGTTTAGATTGCCTCAAAATTCCAAGTTTTTTCGTTCTCTCTCCACCACATCAATTTTTAGACGTATGTATAGAGCATTAAATATAGGTAAAAAAATAACTAATTACACAGTTTGGTTGTAAATCACGAGACGAATCTTTTGAGCCTAGTTAGTCCATGATCGGACAAAGTTTGTCAAATACAAACGAAACGTGCTACAGTGTTCAGATTGTAAAAAATTGCAATCTAAACAAGGCCTTGCTGCCATTTGACGGCGGGGGTTTAGAAGTCTTGTGCTGCACAGGCGGCCAGGCTAAAAGAAGCTCAGCTGTCCAGTCCCCAAGGGCTAGTAGACTCACTGTAGACAAGTGGGCTTCTTATTTTAGGGGGCTGGGCCTTCAGGCTATGGCTGCGTTTAAGGCCCACCTTAAGAGTTGTGCTTGCTGGGCTGGGACTAAATTTGTTGCGCCGCAATCTCTCTGCGGGCTGGGCTAATCAGAAAACCAGCGAACTCTTTCCATTCTGGTCAGCAAGCGCTAGGGAGGAAGGCAGCAAAACGAAAATCATGGTCCCACGCATCATTATTTTCTATTTTATATGCACGCGCAAAAGTATACTCGCATAAAAGCTTAGGCACATATTTATTTTGTATTTTTTCTCAGGAGTATGCAACAAAAACTCCTGAGAAAAAAAAAATATTACAGACACACAACTTAGGCAGCTATTTTTTCTAACACAGTGTAAACACAGATCCTCACACATATATATACACGTCTCTCCCTATGAATGCAAGCACATATCCTACTTGTGTAAAAAAAATATGCACATGATTTGTGAACATAAATTATGCGATAAAAAAATCTGTTCACATATATTTTTGAAACAACAAATTATGCACATAATATAACATAAAATATGGGTGTCATTGTCGGTGAACTTGCCACACAAACCGTGAACCGTCAGCTCCAACTTCCACAACCAGCAATAACAACTGCCCTGAAACGTGGCACCCACAACTCATGAGTAGATTTGCGGCCTACAAAGATCCACCTAACTAAAATTTAGCCAGCTAAAAGTTCTCCTACCTAAACTTTAGCTGGTTTGTTTGGATCCTCTAGCTAATAGATTCAACTAAACTTTAGCTGAGTTTAGCCAGATAAAACAGCTATACAACTAAACTTTAGCTGCTATTTTAGTTGGGTCGTTTGATCCCTAGCAGCTAAATTTAGCCAGCTAAAGTTTAGTTGATGAATCCAAACCGACCCAATTGCCAAGCTCATCTAATGACGGCACCCAACACCTCTACTACAGCTCCAAAGCAGTCTAGGCTAGTTGGCACGAGAATACAACACCAGTAGAGAGACAACATCGAGCAACTTGTCCATAAGAGTCCCGGACTCCCGGTATGTGATGCAAGCTGACACTTGCAGAGATGGACATGAGAGCAAGAGCCAGCTATTTGGCTATAAGTCAAGTGGTAAAAGCTAAACTATACGGTAGTTGGTTGTTTATCTAAAAAAACTTTTTTTTTATTATTACTTTGATCCATTTACCACCATGTCTTTGTAGATTCTCCTCACATTAAAAAATTTTATGCGAGCAAAACATATATGCAAAAATCATTTATTTTCTATTTATGCACGCAAAATCACTCAAAAGTATTTATGTGAGCAAAACGTATATGCAAAAAAAATACTCCAGAGAAAATATGTGTGCACCACTACATAGGCTCTTTGTACCCGGCTTGTTGCTTGTATGAAAGTCAAGCTCTCCTCTCTTATTCCTTTCCTCCTCCATAACGACAAAATAACCAACTAGCTTGGCTAGAAACCTTTGGTAGTTATTTTGACGTGTCTATGCTCAGGGACACGGTTA